ATCTGAAAATTTGGCTTCGAACCACAGATTTTGACGCCTTACTCCACCACAAGCATCGCTTTTTCTCACCTTGCTCAGCTCCAAAACTACGCAGACAGAATGATCACGGTATTTTCCTCCCACTGCGTCTGCTGAGACTACTTGATTCTTGCCCTTACCCTCACGATATTCACTGGTACTGTAGCTACGCTCTTTCGGTGGATCTTCGCCTGTATATTAATTTTATACTCGCAACCAAAATGCTGAAAAACTCACCTAAATCACTTCCTCCGTATAGATGTAAACTTATGGATATGTCACGAATCAGATACCTGTAATCAAACAATATTAGCTGTCAAAACGTCATAACGAAATCTGCTTGCCTTATCATGGGTGATGGAAAATCAGCTGGTAAAGCAGCCAAACCATCACCACGCCAATCATTTGGAACGCGGAAGTGATGAAGATCAACGCTTACACCATTGTTCCACGGAAACTTGTTTGATTGAGAGCCAATGTACTTTATGTTAGGCTCACCAGTGGAATTCTAGGCGAAGAGATTGAATAGTAAAAAATAAAGTATAGCAAAACACTAACAGTGATGCCGCTGCCAATTACATCCTCGTCTACCATACAGAACTCATCATCCGTGGAAAGAGAATAAGCACGATTACGATCAGACTGCGAAACGCTTCCCAATGCATCCGCGAGCAGATCCTGAACATAAGCCATTGATATGGTAGGAAGAGTTACTGATGATAGAAGAAATGCTTGCGAGCAATGCTCTTCAACATCAATATAATGAAACTTACCGGTTTTGTCTGGTTTGCAAAATTTGGTGAGAACTCTTCAAGAGCGTCTCTTCCACAAGAAACACTGCCAAGGCTATCACTTGTTTTCTCTTCTATGGCAGAAGCCAACATGCGCTAAAACAGGAATCTAATGGTGAAAAAGACAATCTAACTCTTACCTTCATTTTCATTTCTAGAGGTTTTGGTATACTCCTAGTAGACTGATTCAGAGGCGCAGCGGAAGAGTCTTGCTAAACCCCATTTGTACTCAGAAATAATAATCTCCTTCATCAAAAACAACCTCAGAAATTATGGTGCCTTCGAAGCTATCCGTTGACTGATGCTTAGCGCTCTCATCCGCGGGAGTGGAGTAATTCTCAGCATGGGCTATCTCCGTGGCTATGTTGAGCAATGCCACCAATGAATCAGCACAAACCCATGCCTGAAATTTTCAAAATGTTACAGAAAGTTTAAGCTGTCGTGCTCAAGGTATCGCAGTACGTATCGCTACTAGTCATGCTCCCATGACATTCCAACCGCGCCGCGCGCGGCTCCGCAATCTACTCCCACCCCGCGCCGTGTACGACTACGTTTGCTAGTATGACATCACTTCAATTGTAGTATACCTTTCCACTTCAAAATTCTCAAATGCACAATGGGTTGTTTCAAACGGTATCGCAGCAGCGGCTACACTGCTGCGATCCAGATCAAAATCCCACTCCGTGCAACAGCTATAGCGCATTCGTGCAGCAGCTGCAGCAACTGTAGCTGAAACAACCACAAGATTGGATTCACAATAACCCATGCTTAATTCCATCTGTTTGAAACTAAGCCACTACTGTGACCCCTTCCTGCATTGTTGCTCGAAAGACGAGAGCGAAAATCTGCTTGAAATCACAGGTATTCTCTGATTCCAACCTCCGATAATCAAAATGGTGTGCGTTATACAGCCCGCCTCTCTTATAAACCCAAGCAACTCTCTAAAGCGCGTTGAATGCTCATTGTACTGGATTCAAAGAAGAATATTGAGTAGA